AGGATGCCCGGCCGAGTAGCAGCCCTCCCAGGAGCCCAGATGCCCTGCTTCCTCAGAGACTGTAGGGCGGAAGTTCACTGAGCAGGTGCCTTTGGGCACAGTCTCCAAACTGTGAGGAAAACAGTTTTGTCTTTCCAAATGACTTAGATATTTTATGTCTTTCCTGTGGTCTGGTGGTCCTATGGCTAAAATTCTACAGGGATGGAGCATTTTCTACTTAGAGAAAATGAGTGAAGGAGTAGGGTTTTAAAAAGTAATAGTTTGATTTTTTTGTTGAAGTGTTTTATATAGGACAAACAAAAACCTTACCACTAAATATCCCAAAACATACCTCTTTCACAAATGAATTATTAGTATTGTCTTTCCTGGAACATTGTGCATGTTTTATTTACTGAGTTTTACATTGTAGGAAGAAGAACATTCCTTTTTTTTTTTCTTTTGGCAGAACCAGGGATTGAACTCAGACCCTTGCACTTGCCAGGCAAGCGCTTATTCTCCTGAGCCATCTCCCCGGCCCTAGGAGAACATTCTTGTTTATTAAAAAAAAAACTGAAGCTGAGCGTCGAAGTGCGTGCCTGTAGTCTCAGCACCCTGGAAGGCTGAGGCAGAATTCAGAGTTCAAGCCCAGTCTAGGCAACCTGTTGACCTTGTGAGACCCTGTCTTGAAGGGCAGGGTCGTGGTGTGGAAGTGCAGTTCAATGCAGGGGCCCGGGTTCAATCTTCAGTGTCACAAAACCAAAACAAAACTCCCTCAAACAACAACAACAACAAAAAATAATTGAATGTTTTGGCTGAAAACAAATCCAGATGCCATCGTGGTAACTTTAAACATGTGAGGCAAGGGGCTGGGGGGATAGCGTGGCAGTTTTAAGCGCCTGCCTGGCAAGGACTCAGGTTTGATCCCCGGTACCACCCGCATGCGGTGCTCACCAGAAACCCTGGGCATGCTGTGCCCGCCACTGAAACCAAACATGGTGGTGCATGCCTGTAATCCCAGCACTGGGGGGGGGGGGGCTGAGACTGGAGGATCACTCCTGTCCAGGCTGGGTAGCGAGACCTTATGCCAAATAAATACATAAAAGATTAAAAAAAAATGTAAGGCAGAGTTATGTGTTGTTTTTAGAGTCATTTAATACTGGCTCATTCGGAAAAATATATCACAGTGAAATGTAGCTTCTTGAAAATCCTATTTTAAAGGCTTTTATAAAAGATGGATAACAGGAAGCAGAGAGGCAGATATTTTGCAAATAGAGGGAGAAAGAGATGGAGAAAAGGGAGATACAGAGAATGTGTTAGGTACATGCACCGCTTCTACGATGAGTGTACAGTCACTATGCAAGCATACCAATGGAAAAAAAGATGAAAAATGAAAGAAAACATTGAAATCGTTTAGGTCACTTAGTCATAAATCGTGCTTTGCATTCATGAATTAGCATGCCGTATTTTGGTATGGGATATAATTTCAAAATTTAGAACTTCATTTAACCTCCAGATTTCTTCCCACAGGCCATTTTGCAACCTGTGTTGGCGGCAGAAGATTTTACCATCTTTAAAACGATGATGGTCCAGAAAAACATTGAAATGCAGCTGCAGGCCATTCGAATCATTCAAGAGAGAAATGGTAACATGTTGACGTTTGAAATCTAAGTTCTAAATCCTTTTTTTTCTTCCAGTTTTGCCAGTTCTGGTTATAATATGGTTTTAAATGTAGCTCCTTTATATAAATATATTCTACCTTTGAAACTTGTGGGTAAGTGAAGGGCTTTTGAGTGTACAGACTTCCTGCTCAGTGTGCTTGACCTCAAGGAAAGCAGACTGAAATCCGATTTAATGATGTTTTAGATTTTATAGCGCTTGGTTTTTTTACTCTGCCATTATGTGAACAAATTTTGATATTTTTGACTGGTTTAGTGACTGCTGAGAGAAGGTACCTATTCTCATGGCTTATTATTGTTAACATGTTAAGAAGAGGAAATGATTCCTAAGCTTTCATGCACAGTGGAATCAGTTTGGAGGGTTGTGAAAGCTCATGGGCAAGCTCTCAGAGATTAATAAGAGTGTGGTCCCAAGATGTATCCATTTAGCTAGAAATACCCCAAACACCCTTTTTATCGCAGAGAAGTACTCCACTGTATAAAAAGCGCAGAAGACTTGCCTGTGTAACACATGCCTGGGTGATGCTGAAGCTAGGTGGAGCTGGGGCCACAGCTAGAGCCGCTGGTCCAGGCCACAGGTGCGTGTGACTCTCTCACCAGCATCGTATGGAACAGAGGAGAGAAGGCAGGCGCTAGTGGCTCTCTTTGGCTTCATCTTTGCCTATCTCTGTGCTCAAACGTTCTAGCTTTTTTTCTGCTTTTGTGTCCTTAGTGTGTGCCGGAACCACACTAGAATTTCTGATTCCCATCAGCTAAGTTGCTGACTGTATTTCTTGTCATTGTGCCATCTCCTATTTAAAATAGGTTCTCGTTTCTGTTCAGATTTGTTGATCCGCCTGGGGAGGTAAATCCGTGTTAAGAGTTCATGGCTCAGACGCATCAGGGCCTGGGTTCAGCCCGGCACCATGAAAACAAAGTAACTACAGAAAAAATAAACCCTAAAGCTTACATTTTTGGTCATTTCATTTTAATTCTTGTGTGCTTCTTTTGTATTGTTTTGTTCAGTTGGTTGCCATGATACTCTTTATAATGGCTTGCAGGTACTGGGGAATGAATTTAAGGCCTTTGCCCTGAGCTCTGTCTTCAGCTCTTTATATATATATATATTTTTTTTTGTTTTGAGACAGGGTCTTGCTAAGTTGTTAAATTGCCCAGGCTGGCCTCCAACTTGTGTCTCCAGTGTCAGCCTCCCAGAGTTCTGGGATCATAGGGCAGTTTGGAAGCAGGACCTGTCCTTTGTTTCTTAAAGAAATGAGCGCTGTAGCTACTTGTGTTGATGGTTGTATTGCTCTTAAGGGTCTGGATGCCAGGCCCCTCCTATGTGCCAGTTTTCTGGTGATATTGTACTATAATTTTACAAGATGTTACCACTGGGAGACGTAAGATATGTTGTATCTTTACTTCTTTACAACTGCATGTAAATTTGCAGTTATCTCAAAATAAAATGTTTAATTTTAACAAATGCATGAAAACATCAAGGGTATTAGAATAGTAAAGTTACTGTACTTCAGGGCATATCTAAAATCCCCTCCTCCTATGTGGATAATAACATGGAAGATAAAAAAGGAAGAGACATTCTGTTAATGCTATCGAATATAATTATTATAGATAGGAATGCAGTATTTAGTACAATTTGCCTGCTTATCAGGAAGATATAAGTTAAACCAACACTTAAAATTACTTCATATGAATTTTTATTTGCCTTTGGGCAAAGTTGGTGCTGCTGTGGTCTGTAGTAATTAGGCTCATACCTGAGCAGAGGCTCTGAGGGTGGAAACTGAATCTTTTATATTTCTATCCTTCCAAAGTGCTTAGCATTCGGGCTTTCATTTTACATAGTAGGTAGACCCCTTGTCAGTAACATTTATTATGATAGAAATGAAGAGTATTAAATTTTGTTTTGTTTTGTTTTCTTTATGGTTTTTGGGGTACTGGGAATCAAACAACCTTGCACTTGCCAGCCAGATGCTGTACCCCTGAGCTATATCCCTGGCCCTTTAAGTGTTGTTTTGATAGAATAACATTTATTTTATAAATTTCCATTTAAGGGTCACCTGGGAGAATATAGTTTCATTATCTGCGCTATCTCAGTGATTTCATTGTATGACCTCATATTATATGATGGGAGACAGTAACTTATATTTATTTTATTTCCATACTTTTGTGGGGTTTTTTGGTAGCGCTGGGGAACTAGCCCAGGACCTCACGTGTGCTAGCCTAGCGCTCCACTGTTGAGCTACATCCTCAGCTCCTGTCATTATTTTCAATAGCTAATGCAAATAATCATTAAGAGATATTTCTCAATAAAATTGTGTTTGGTGGGACTGATTCCTTAAAATGAGAAGCAGAAAGAGAAGCATTAGATAAGCTTGGCTGGGCATGGTGGTACACACCTGTGGGAGGCTGAGGAAGGAGGATCACTGTGAGTTTGAGGCCAGCCTGGGCTACATAGTGGGTTCAAAGCTGGTCTGAACTACATGGGGAGTTCCTGTCTCAAAACAGCAGTGACAACACCAAAATAAAACAATAACAAAACAAAGATAGAGAAGCTTGGAATGGTTTTTAAAGTGATAAATCATAAACTAATTTTACTAGATGCATTGGAGCAGTGAGAAGAGTTTTCAGTTGAGTTGAAGTTCTTCCATGTGGTGTTTGAACAGGTGTGTTACCTGACTGCTTAACTGATGGCTCTGATGTGGTCAGTGACCTTGAGCAGGAAGAGATGAAAATCCTGAGGGAAGTTCTTAGGTACCTCTTTCCTTATTTTTGAATGATTGTTAGTAATGTTAAAGTGAGCTCTCTCTCTCGCTCTCTCTATCTCTCCATATATATATATATATTTCCCCCCCCCCCCAGAAAACGTGAATTCTGTACTGAACACCAAAGTGATTCATCATTTTATAAGTTTGAAATCCCTTCTCCAAAATGGTTAGGGCCATGATTCTATGTATTTTGGAACTTGGACTGCATAGACCTTACTGGTTGAGCATCCCTAATCTGAAAATCTCAAATCTGCAGTGCTTTTGAGGGTTATGTTGGATTACAAAAAGTTTGAGCATTTCAGATTTTCAAATTAGGGATGCTCAACCTGTACTATATTTATTTTTAAAAACGTTAACATTATTATTAAAATGTTTTTAATTGTTTAAATTTTATTTTAGATTATTAGTACATGTTGCAGTGCAAATGTGCACATTCCCTGTGTGGAGTCGGCTTATGTACACAACACATCCCAATTCCTTCCTTTCTTCTGCATCCCCCTACCCCCGACGCGCCCCCATCCTTGGCCTCTTGATCCCTTCCCCTTTGAGAACCTCCCTACTTCCTGTTCTTTTCTGTTGTGCTCTTTATGTTTCCTGTGGGTTCCATGCACAGAAAAAACTATTGTCAGGTGACTCAGGCTGGGTCAGCTTAGTGAGAGGCCCTGTAGGGGTGAGAATGAGGTCACAGTGGAAAACGTTCAACAGATCCAGCTTGCTCCCTGCAGATTGATGTTTTCTGTATTTCAGAAAATCCAAAGAAGAATATGAGTTGGAAGAAGAAAGGAAGAGAAAAAAACAGGTGCCCATAGAAAATATAAATGCAACAGAAGTATATTTCATTGCTGTTATTGCTTAGTCATTTTCCCTGTCATCTCTGCTGTATGTAAGCTTTGGGGGAATTACACCATGCCTCATTATTCATATTTTCTTGACAAGTCTAAATATTTAATTTTTAAATATAGAAAGCGTATACTTATAACAATGTTTACTTACTTAATACCTTCTTATAGAGGAAGGAATTCTTGAGGATGAGGTTTGGCCTCATCGTAGAGCTTGTGTTCAGCATGTGCAAGACCCTGGCATCAATCTCCAGTACCCAAACAACCAACCAAACAACTACACAAAAATAATCTTTATAACTTTATTCATTTTGTAATTTATCCAAAAAGCTACCTTTTAAATTCCTGGATAAAGACTAGGATCATTGGGGCAGGGGAGATGGCTCAGTGGAATAAGCGCTTCCCTGGCAAGCGCAAGGGCCTGAGTTCAATCCCCGGTTCCGAGAGAAAAAAAAAAAAAAGACTAGGATCATCAACTTCAAAAACTATAATATCACATTCTGGGGGAATGCCTTATAAATATTTCTGTTAATTTTCTGAATGAAGTAAGATTAAAAAACATTTTACTTTTCCATTCTCCTTGATTCTTTCACTGTGTTGAAATAACAGCCATCACTACTGTCAAGTCACCCCTTTTAACAACAAAAAGACAGAAATGATGGATTTCTGCCCTTCCGGAGCTCTGCCAGGGTCATTAGTGGCGGGTGATCCAACATGGCACTGGATCCCAAAACAACTCCCAGACTGAGTTCCGTGTTCTTGTTCTAGTCCCAAAATAGACTTTGCGTCTCATTTTCACGCAGGCGCACACCAAGGCCCCTCCAGTCCTCTCCCAGCAGTGTCCACCTGATCCACCCCGCCCGCTCCCAGCCCTCCTCCGCAGGTCCTTGCTCCTCTTCAGCACCCCTCCTGCGCCGAGCAGTGAGGGATTTCTTTACTTCTGTCCCGCTTCTCGAGCCATGTCCCTGGCCCTTGTCCCACTTCTCTTTCACGCCAGAGGAAGAAACCGCACCTGAAGACCCCCTCCAGGCTTTCATAGATGAGACTGCAGCAGGATAATTCAGTATCACATTTCGTGGCACTGGGTTCCTCCGTGAAGAACCATTTCCGTGAAGTGCCCATCTTTCCAAGGATAGACGGAACATGTACCTGGCGAGGCGATGGAAGCTAATATTCACTCTTCTACTCTTTTTTGCTAATTCCCTTTCCACATTTTCCCAGTCTTCCTGAAGGAAAAAGGAAACGATATAAATTATCAATCACTTAAAAGTTGTTTTCAGTCTTTCTATCATTAGGAAACATGCCTGTATGACTTTACTGTCTTTGAAAAAATCTTTTGTTCTAAATTACCTAAAGAAGAGTAGATGAAAAGTATATGCATTTTTTTGTGAGAAATGTTAAATATTCTTTATATGGTATTATACATACACCACACTAAAATTCCTTTCAATAAGTAAAAGGCAGCACTTTTTAGATATAGGGAATTCTAATTAAATTGGCATAGTCAAGGCTAAAAATATAGACATAGCTTTCTTGTCTTCAACCACTCCCTTTAATAGGCTAATAAACCCAAACTGAAACAGCGGAGTCTTGCCTGGTTTTGAGACAATGAAAGATTTCTCAGTATTTAAACATATTCACATAACCAGTTATATAAATCTAAATATAAAACCAATACTCAGTAGTTTTGAGATGATATTCTCAATCTTTGTGAAAAGTTCAACATTACTAATCAAGTCCAACTATGTATTTAGAAGGGAAAACAGTGTTAGTATTTACTGAACTGGAATTACTGTCAAACCTTGAAGAAAAAAATGATACGCATTTAACAACAAGCCAATTTTATTTAAATCAGGACTGTCCAACAAAAATATTCTGTCAGCCACTCATGATCTGAATTCTCGTGTATGAGATTAAATTATGGTACACATACAAAAGCCATGAGACATTTCTGTTCTGCAATAAATAAGGCAGTGACTATTACTCATTAGTAGCCTTTTTGAGGTAAGCTGCTGTCTGCCCTTTCTCCCTTCTTGATGCCAGCAAAGATCATTTTTGTTCCTGGGATGTACTTCTTGGGATTCTCCAAGTACTCCTTCAGTGTATCCTCTCCCCAGGTGATACCTTTTTTCTTGTTGGCATCTGTGTAAAAATCCAGCAGCCTGACCGTCTTCCGCCCAAAGAGACCAAGGAGATTTGGCCAGGTCTTGTGCTTGCCTCTCTTCTCAACAGTGTGGCACTGGGCACACTTCTGTACAAAAATTTTCTTGCCTTTCTCAACATCACCCATTTTTAAACCTGCTGCAGCTTCCATGCCGGATGATCACCGGTCTTCCCTTGTTACCACAAGGAAAGTTCTAGTGGAGAAGCCTGATGTCCCGCTCTCTTGATTTATGCATTTTTGAATGAATTTCTTTTTAGTAAAAGGCACTGAAGTTTTTAGATACTAGTATTTTAAAATATAGGAGTATAGAAGAGAAACAGGTTCAAAATTACTGTTGGAATACATTAGTTTTAACCCAATTCATATGAAAACCATACTAAGTTTCTTGGATCCCACACTTTAGGGGTGTGCAGATACTTTTTTTCCTTTTGAGATATTTTTGTTATGGAAGTAATATCTCCCACGTATTTATCACCCCACGTATGGGGGCTCATGGCTTATACATCTGTGAGTTGCACTCTACATACTTTAGGATTTTCTTCTGTTTTTAAGGAAAAATGAATTAATATGAGCTACTTTCTAATTTTTGAAAATAACATTTCATCTTTGGGTTTTGTAAGAGAATTAGTTAACATTAATCTCAGCTGTTTGTGTGTATTATGGAATCTGCAGCTATCGGAGGCTAAAACAGAAGCAGCCCGGGGGTACACTGACGAAGCTGCAGGTGGGAGTGAGTCCCAAGGCGACGGCGAGTGTGTGGCACAGCCTTCCTCAGGTAAGGGCGAGTGCGTCGGGCTTTCCCTGGCAATAGGAATACGGAAACACCTGACAGAGTGTCATACTTGCATGTGTACTTAACCTTCAAAAATTCTGGGAGGCAATATTGAATAGCTTTGCTATTTAAAATTGCTTGTGAAATTAGAGTTTGCAGGTTACGAAATTCTGAACTGAAAATATAGTTCTTGTGTTTATACGTGACACCTAAGTCTGAGCAGTAAGCAAATCCACTTTCTTTATGCTTGGATTTCATGTAAGAAAACAAGTAATTCTGAAATAAAAATTGAATCATGGTCATGATTTCAGTTTCCTCTATCATGGATTTCTATGGTTTTAAGTAAATGTCCTTTTCTCAGAAAAAAAAAAATGAGACTTTTTTTTTTTCCAGTTGGGAAAGTTTAAAAATGTTTTCTTTCTTTCTTTTTATTAGTACCTCTGTGCAGTACATACTAGTTATGTTCCAGGGGGAGCTGGTACACATGCATAGCACATCTTACTGTTTTAGGGCTGGGGAGATAGCTCAGTAGAACAAGCAGGGTCCCGCCTGGCAAGTGCAGGGTCCTGAGTCCTATCCCCTGTACCACAAAACAACAACAACAACAACAAAAAAACCTGTTTTTCATCCCCTCCCTGGCCCCTCCCCCACCTCTTGCAAAACATCTCTATCCCTTCTTCCTTTTCTTTTAATTTGTTCTTTATATTTTGGCTCTCATGTAAGAGAAGACATGCAGTATTTAAGCCATGTGTTTGATTTATTCCACTTCATGTTATGGCCACAGGTATATCGAGTTTCCCACAAGTGACTTCTCTTTTTAAGGCAGAGTAGTAGTCCACTGTGTATAAACAGCACATTTTCTTTACCGTTTACCTGCTGACGGACAGGCTACTTCCAGGAGTTAGCAGTTGTGAGTCGTGCTGCTGCAGACATGAGAATGCGTGTGTCAGTGTAATACGGTGCCATTAGCTTTTTCAGGATGATACCCAGAAGGGAAATCGGTAGTTTTCATGGAATGTTTACTTTCCGAACAACTTCTTTTTTTGAGGAATTACTGTACTGATTTCCTTGATAGTTATAATAGTTTACATTCCCACCACCAGTGTATAAAGGTACCTTTTTCCCAAGAGCCTTTCCAACATTTATTATTTGATTTCTTGATGATAGCCATTAATTCCAGAAAAGGTGGAAGCTCAAGTGTTTTAATTTGTATTTGTCTGATGGCTAGAGATGTGGAACATTTTTTGGTGTATTTATTGCCCATGTCTTTTATTAAACTTTGATTTTCATTAGTGCATTTTTATAGCACATCACGACTACATTCTTTGTGGGTAGTTGGTTATGTACAAAACATATCTTAATTCTTTTTACTTCCCCTTCCCCTCTCCTCCCTCCCCCCTCCCTTCATCGCTTGGTTCTTTCTATTTGCAAAAGATGTTTCCTATTGTCCTGTTCCTGTTTTTCCTATTGTCTTCTTTTATTTTGCTCTTTAATTTCATTTTATTATTATTTTAAAATTAATTTTATTGAGAAAGAAATAGCAATGAGACAGTTTCAAAACAGGTTAGTAGGACTGTTATAATAAATAATACATTGTATATTGTTGTCTTTGTAGTAGTTATTTATAGTATAAGATGCAGACGTAATATCTTGTCTAAACACTATTAGTACAAACCTTTCTTCTCATTAAACTAAGAGAAAGTAG